AAACCACTACTAGTATTAATTGTGAACCTAAAAGGTCACACCAATTTTTGAATGAACAAATAGTATTTCTAAAGAGTTAGAATTAATTGACAAATCTAATTTGATTAGATATCAATTAAAGGAATATATTAAATTAATCAATTAGATTGATTAATTGAATTTTGGATATTAATTTAGTAATTAATAGAATTACTAATTAATAGTTGGAATTTAAAATTAGATTTTAAATTTCAAATCCAAATAATAATAAGATTATTAAATAAGGAAATGGAAGAATAGATTAAAATAATGAAGTCTTGAAAAAAATTTTCAAGAATTATTATTTTAGTATTTATCTTTAATATGATTGAAGATTAAATAATAATAAGAATAAATTAATTATGGTGGTTAGGAGTTGTTAACTAATTTACACAATTAATCTTATTTTTATTAATACAATAATAATGATTGATGGTGGTTATAAACCAATCACATTATTAATTAAAAGTCAATATTTGGTATGATTATTTAAATAAAATCTGATTTTATTTAAAATAAAATATATCAAATATTGATTATTTTATGCTAAAATGTTTAGTATAAATAGGTGCAAAATGTTTGCACATTAATAGCTTAGTTTTGAGCAAAATTCTTCCAAGAGAAAATTCATTGAAATAATTGAGTGATAATACAAGAAAGTGTTCTTGAAAAATTTCCTTATAAATATATATTCTATACTTCTTGAAAAATCGAGTAGTTTCTACTAGCGAAGGAACTATTGTCGGAACCGGACTTCAAAAGGTGGATACGATTAGAGGGAAGACATCTGGATTCCTAAAGTGAGTAACCACAAGAAGTGAGCGTTACCAAACCGGGAATTGATTTCCTCATACATCGTCGGTTTTGAAGTAATTCAAGAACAAAGGTAATTTTTATAAATTACATATCAAATCAAAATTAGTAAAAGTTACTAGATTTTAAATGATGCTTATTCGTTATATCGTTATACTTATGTTCGGAATAAGTATTTATAAAATAAATACTTATAAAATTTTAAATTCCGCTGTAAACTCTGTTTCGTACGGTATATCGAACCCAACATTAGGATCCCAATCAGCATTATTAATCAAATTTGCAGTGATAAAACTAATTTTTGGTGGGGTCAAAATGATAAAGGTGGTAACAGAGTGAACTGGATAGAGTGGGGTAAGCTTGTAGTGCCTAAATCAGAGGGGGGATAGGCTTTAAGAATTTGAGAGCTTTGAATGAGTCTCTATTGGTAAAACAACTGTGGAGAATTCAAACTCAGCATAATCTCTTAGTTAGCAAAGTGTTGAAGGGCAAATATTTTTGGAATAGGGATTTGTTGGAAATTAAAGCCAATGATGGAGATTCTTGGCTTTGGAAAAGCTGGTTGGAGGCTAGGGGTTCTTTTAAACTTGGAGCTAGGTATGAGGTGGGCACTGGGCAATCCATTAATGTTTGGGATTCTCCTTGGATCCTAAAAACTCATCTTTTAAACCTAAGTGTTGTTTTTGGGGTGACAATAGTAGGATAGTCAAGATCAGTGACCTGATTAGGATAGGGGGGGAGAGTGGGACAGTGAGTTGATTCAGCAAACTTTTGACCCTGTTGATGCAGCCTCCATTCTTAAAATTCCTTTATCTAGTCATAGAAACATGACAGGTTGATTTGGCACTGGGGAAGAAAAGGAGAATTCTCTGTCAAGGCAGTGTACCTCATTATTTTGGAAGTTAGGGGAAAGCATGGGCCCCAGGCTTCTACTAGTGATAGCACTGAATGGTGGAGAAGAATGTGGAAAACTTGCTGGAAGCTGAATTTGAAGCCAAAAAACAATTTTTTTTTTTTATTTTGAGATATTGGTTTGGATTCATAGGGGTGAATGGGAGGTTAAGGAGGAAGGGGATTGATGTGGATCCTGTGTGCAGGTTGTGTGGCGAAGACAATGAAGATTTAAACCACCTGCTCTTTCAATGTTCAAAGGCCAGAATCTGTTGGAAGTTGAGTGGGGTTCAGTGGGACTTAATGCAAAACAAGGACATGGACTTTCAAAGATGGTGGATGGAAATATGCTCAAAAGGTATGTCTACTATTCTTAAGAAGAGAATCACTTTATTTGCCTACTTAATCTGGAATTTGTGGAAGACCAGAAACAAGTGGGTTTTTAAAGGTGATTGATTCAATGAAAAAGAAATAGTGGATAGATCACATTCAGAATGGATGGAGTGAGGGACTTATTCACAAGCTACAAGTAGGATTCAAATTGTAGATGGAGATCCTCTAAGAGTAGGTAAGCCTGAGGTGGCTATCAGTGCTCACTTATCTGCAGATGGTACTATTTCAGTAGATTGTGTTGTATCCATGAACTCAGAAGATCAGAGGCACTGGGAAGACCAAATATCAGGATCTGGAGACCTCATGGAGGAGACAAAAGCAGCTCTTTTGGCTACTCAATGGGGGCTGAGGAAGATCAAAGAGATTAAACCAGAAGCTGCAGGTGTACGATTTGAACAATGAAATAGCAGTGCAGATTTTGAACAAAACCAAAGATCCGGGTGTTTGCTGCATGACTGTGTTGTCTGGTATTTGGGAGATGATGGAAGCTTGTGGAGTTCCTTCTTTTGTTTTTTTCTAGTGTTTTTTTCTTTTTTCTTGTTAGACCATGTTGGTCTTTGAGGGGGAGAACCATGTTCTTCCTCGTGTACCTTGGGTAGCTTTGTTGTGGATTATCCTTGAGATGTAGTCATTTGATTACTCGATGTACTCGCACTTTTCTTTGAGTTATAAATTTTATCATTTTCCTTTTGAAAAAAAAAAAAGAATATCAGAAACAACTCTACACAAAATAAATGCATTATGGCTCACAATATGGAAACGGGTACTGTGGTTTCTAGAGTTATTTTTCTACTCTTCTAACTTCAGAAAGTTCCACTCAGCTATAACATAATATCCAAAAGTAAACAGCCAAAAATTATTATATGCAAATGCACAAAAAATTGTTTGTCACACTACAAAATATTAAACTTACAATAACTGAAAATTGATTAAAAAAAACTCTTCAGATTTTTCTCTTCTTTTTTCCTTTATCCCATTCCATAAAATGTTGTCAACTTTATTCAAATAATAAAAAAATAAGTCTACTTTGAATGTCTACTAAATCTATATCTATATAAATATAAAAAGGTTTGACATTTACCTAAAATAACAACTAAATTTCCGTCTAAAAATTTCAAACTTACTAAACTAAGTAATTTTTTTTTTCAGAAATTTTTAGAATCCCGCTCTAACATGTTTTGAAATAACTCAGTCAAAATTAAGTTCAAATATTTAAAGAAACTATTGACTACTACAAATTTATTTTAGTATGCGTATATCGCAGATTATTTAAAATCTCTTCCAACACGTTTATTTTGGCATACATATATACGAGATTCTCTAAATTATCTTCCAATAAATTATTTTTATAGGGTGAAAACTTTACTGACAGATCAAAATCAAATATATCATTCTCGCCATCTCTACCAAAATTGTTTTGTGAAAACTTAAATGACTATGAAAATCAAATCCAACCAATTCTCCAATTAGGGTTGAAGATGAGGAGATGGGCACGACGAAGCTCCATCAGGTCTTCTCCAAGCTCGATGGACGGCGACAACAACATCAACCGGGATGAGCTCAGCGAGTCGTTAGAAAATCTCGGGATCTGCGTGTCAGAGGAGAAACTCGGGCGATGATCGGGAATATTGACGCCCACGGAGATGCCGAGGAGTTCAGCGCTCTATACGCGGCGCTGATGGCAGACGGCAGAGGCGACGATGGGGACGACCGTGAAGAGAACGTTCGGGAGGCATTTAAGATTTTTGATCGGGACGAGACGGGTTCATCACGGCGGATGAGCTGAGGTCGGTGTTGGCGGCGCTGGGGTTGAAGTAGCTGAAGACGCCGGAGGAGTACTAGAGTATGATCGTTAAGGGTCGACTTAGGTGGCGACGGGAGGGTTAACTTCGATAAATTTCGGCAGATGATAAAGTACGGCGGGTTCGTCAGGATAAATTCATTGTTTTTTTATAATATTTTTTATGTGCAAATTGCAATTGTCAATTGGTTGATGTAATTATTGGATTTTGATTCTTGCCTCCATTTTTTATGTGGCTGAGAAATAATTTATGTGTTTGATCTGCAAATTGTTGTCGGAGGGTTTCTGGGGAGGACGGAGGAAAGACTTTCGTGATAAAGTCGTTGGCCCCACATAGAGTGGTGCTGGAACACGCGGTGGCTGGATTCCTAACCCAATGCGGTCGGAACTCCATCCTGGAGGCTGTGATGTACGGGCTGCCGATGATCGGGTGGCCGATCTACGCAGAGTAGAGAATGAACAGGGTGTTTGTGGTGGGGGAGATGGAGGTGGCGCTTCCGCTGGATGACGGGCATGACAGGTTTGGGGTGGCAGCGGAGAAAAAGAAGTGGGTAAAAATTCGTTCTTTTTCTTTATATGCCCTAATTTTTACGCACTTTGATTGTGCTTTGTACCTGTTTATGTGGTTGTTGTGGATTATGGTGAAAAAATAATCTCGTTATTTGTTCGTGCAGGATGTAAATAATGACGGGTTTAGGCATAAATTGGCTGAAAAATTTTCAAAAAATGCGACTCGATGGTTCATGGTGAAACTGGAGAATCTGTCATGGCCTCTATCCCATTTCAGGTCACTTTACAGATGCTAATATTTCTGGATTTTGGGCTTTAGGATTTGAGAAAGTTATGTTACATTGTATCTGGTTGGTTGCAATTAGTTTTCGATTCTTAATTACGGTTATGAATTGCTTGGTAAATTGTAAGGGCTTCTTAGAATGTAAACGTGTTTTCACTGGTAATTTATCTATTGTGAGGGGATGCAGTTGTGGTTAGGACCTTAACCGATATGGATGAGGTTAGTAAGTTTTAAATAATCACTTACTGGGCACTGTGTAGGGGCAAAGAACATGATTTCAATCGAATAATGCTAAATTTAAATTGTCAATAGATGATTAATTTTCCTAAGTGGTTGCAAGTTTAATGCACATGCAACTTAATGGACTCAAGAAACAAACAAATACGAACCATATTTTTAGCAAATATATAAAAATATTTAGTTCTCGACTATAAGAAAAAACTGATCGATCTTCACGCATTGAAAATTCTGGTAATCTTAAGTCCTCATTAGAGTTCTTGATTTATCTCCAATATATCGCTTTTGTAACATTCTCGATGCATAATGAAGATTACGAGAGATACAGTTGGATTACCTGAAGTGCTTACGAGATTAGATCCCGGAAAATCGCCAGAGCCAATTGTTGAATATGATGAGCAAATTGTTTAATATGAATGTTGATATATAGTCCCATGACAGGAGTTTGCTATGGACCGCGGGAAAAGAAAAGCAAAAAAAAAAAAGAAGTATTATTTCTTGGTGCAAAGCTCTGTTTTCTCCTATTTACGACATTTGTTGAAAAATGTATTATAAAATGTTCAAATTCTTGAAAGTATTACAAGCCTTCTTTTCATTTTGCTCCATGCCTGTTTGCACATTAATAGATATTCAAATTTTAGTTAATTTTTAAGATTCCCGATAGAAAATATTGTTTTTTAAATCAATTTGTTCATTCGTCATTCTCATTACCGTAGGGTGTGAAGTTGAAATTTGTGATGGCATCACAAACAAAACTTCTTTGACTTCTTTTTATATTACTTTTCAGCAGTTGAGACTTAAGCATAAAAGATGGCCACAAATCTTTTTTATTGCTTCGAGAGAGTGGTTGGAGTTCGAGGGAATTTTTATGGCTCTCCTTTGTAATTTTGCTTCTTTCTCTGCTTCTTTTGTTAGATGTTGTTGGCTAGGAAATCAGTGGATTTCAGTGGTTTCTCAATATCTGTTTTGCTCAAGTGCTTTTTTGGTCGTGCGGTTTGTTGGTTGCTCGAGGCGACTTTCCCATGAGGGTCTGGTTGGCTTTTGTTGGGGTTTTTTGCTTCTGGTAGGGTGTTGATGGACTAGGGAAACTGTTGCTTCCAGTGGTTTTTCTTAATACCTGATGTACATGCTTTTGTTTAATTTTTGTTCTTAGTGGGCGTTTAGCTTTTATTCCTCCCTGTTAGTGCTGCAGTTTAGTTTTTTCTTTTCAATAAAGTTGTGCCTTTGGTCTTTTTTTTTTAGAGTTGTTTATGTTTTTACTTCTTTTTAGCTGAGTAATTGTTCTGTTTGGTTTGGGGTGGCTATCTGAGTTAAAGTTTTGTAAAACTC